TATTTTAGACATAATTTATTTATTAGGATTTGCAATTTGAAAAAATCAGTTCCTTCCAATTTTGGGAATCAAACGGGACCCCACACAAGCAAAAATCGTTTTCTACAATCTTTATTAACCTGAAGGGCTAGACAACAAACAACCGCTATGCGAACAAAGTTATAATACCCATGTGCACAAATGCGCTCGGGTGTAATTATTTCTTAAAACATTATTCTAAATGTATGTTTTGAGCAAATTGATTTCAAAAGTTAGAAATATGTCCCATTTTTCAAAAATGTATAATAATAAACATGTGACTTTTTTAGCAATTTGTTTTCTGTAATTAAGGAAATATTGAATTTTTTGAATTTTTCGAAATTACCGTTTTATGGGAGGGACCAGGTTATGGTTTAATTTTTGTATTTTCAATACGCTTCTGCCCTGCATAAAGGGAAACCCGCGTACCGAATTTTCTTCCGATATCTCAACTTTTCCTAGAGTTATCGTGTACACAAACAAACGGACAGACAGACAGACGGAGATGGACTAATCAACTTCTCTTTTTATTCTGGGCATTTACGGTATATACATACATATGTACATAAATGTAGTATATATCTATCTCGATTTTGGTTGTTCCAAATATCCGTTACGTGAGAAAAGTTATAGTACCCTACTGCAGAAGTGCGTAGTAAATATGTTTAAATAGTACACCTTTTAATTAATAATTAATAAAAAAAATTTTACAATGTAACTCCTCAAACCCTCTTTAAAGAAAACAAGAACCCTATAAAATTTCGTTTTGAAAGTTTTCAAATTTGATAACTGAAGAAAAAAATTAATAGAAAAAAAATCATACAAATTAAATTTATATATACATATATTCTGCGAAAAAATGTCTACAATCAATTTTTAAACCCTTTTCGCAATTGGTGTACTCTTGTAACCGGTAAATTTTGTTACCATCTCATAAGCTGGTAACAAAATATTGCCCCGCCCCGTGAAATATGCAATGCCAGAATTTCCACAATTCTTCATGGCTGAATTGCTGAATATATAGCATTACCAACGTTCCTAGAATCGCGGTGACATGAACAGGTAACATTTTTTGGTAATAAAATTTTCCGGTTACAAAATCTTCGGTTACGTGCAGAATAGACCTTTTATAGTTCTAAAAGTCTATAATACGAAGGGACAGATGCCGGTAATGAAATTCTTAAGTTTTTTCAAGCAAGAGTTTTAAAAACTCAATTCTGTTGACACTGTTTTATATTTCTATATACAGTTCACTAGTTTCGAATCTAATATATGTAAATGTATGTATCAAGATGTGTCCTTTGTGCTCGGCGGTTGCGATGTTTGTTTGGACTGATTTCGCACCAGTCATTAGCCATGGGTTAATGTCAGAAAACGTCTATACATACGCGTTGAAATACATACATACGTATACATATATGTTTTTTTTTTCAATTCCAGATATGTTTAAACTTTAAAGTATAAAATATATCAACCCTGGGAAAAAAGTATTAGTACTGAATGGTAAAAACGTGTGCATTCATTTTAAATATACAATCATGTGTGTGTGCGAATGCTTCTGTTACATTCACATTCCATACTGAATGTCAATCTACCATTCAAAAACACAACACAGTTTATTTGTTTTCAAGCATTTTAAGCCACTTAGGAATGAGGCTTTTTTTATACAAACAAACAATCAAAATTTTGAAAAGAATGTCGAGTGAATGCAGATCCTATTGATTCAATCATTTTACAGCTCTGTTATGTAGTTCCCAAAAAAGCTAGCTTTTGTTTTCAAACCGTTTTTTTTTTCGGCAAATTTTTATCGAAATTTAGCTTGAAGGTCGGCTCTATAGATTCAGGATTTACCCATTAATCTCTGAAGCTACGAAAGGTAGCTCTTAAGAAAAATAAAGTGTCTATTACTCTGCCACTATTGAAAGACTGTCCTTTAATACCCAATTGCTTCGCTGCTCATTTTAATATATAATCGATTTTTTTTTGCATTTTTTTTTGCATTTTTTTCATGCTGCAGTTGGGCGCAAATCGAGGTGGAAACTCAACGTACCTACCCGGACTGGGTACAGGCTTTCGGTGCTGGCATACTTGAGGGCTCATTGACCTGGAATAATATCTACAATCAATGGAAAAAGTAAGTTAAATCAATGATAATTTCAGCTTCATTGCAAAATCATATCCGCACATTCTAACGACCTTCTTTTATTTTCCTCTCTACAGCACCATCGAATCTTCCTGTGAGCGTGATGAGAGTTCGCAAAACTTCTGTACCTGGCTGCGTGATCTGCTTGACGAGAATTACATTCGCATCAAAGAGACAGCGGTACAGCGTGGCGAGCACGATCACTATTGGCATCAGATCAGCCTCTATTTTAGTCAATTGGAGGGTCTGGAAACGGGCTATATACGCGGCGCGTCTCGTGCACGTTCAGATCTCGAAGAGGAAATACCTTTTTCCGATTTTCTTCTCCTAAATGCCGCCGCTGACATTCAGGATCTTAAAATCTACTATGAGAACTTTGTATGGAAGGAGGGGAATGAAACAGCCGATGTGGGCACACAGGAACAAGGCACAGCTGTGACTGCGACTTCGGAAGCGGAAACAGCACCAAAGAACTTCTTTCTGCCAAGCGCCACAATGCTGACAAAGATCTTTCAAACTGCCGATTCGCCAACATGGAGATTGCTTTTTGGTCACAGCACTGCCGGCAGTTATGCCTCAATGTTGCGCATACAAAAGCGTTACAAATTCCACTATCACTTCTCGCCGAATCAACGCTCGAATACAGTGCCTGGCGTCGATATAACATTTACCGGCTATCCAGGCATACTCGGCTCTACAGATGATTTCTACATCGTAAAGGGTCGCCAGGTGCAGTCCATTGTGGGCGGCGTGGGTATAAAGAACGAGAATCTGGATTTGTGGAAGACAGTTAACGTTACGCAGGCGTTGCCGCTGGCAGCACGTGTCATGGCAGCAAATCGTATAGCGCAGAATCGTCGCACATGGGCAAAGGCAATGTCGCGTCACCCATTCACCGGTTGTAAACAGTGGATAACGGTCGACTTGAACAAATTGCGTCCACAAGACAACCTATATGTGTCGCTGGCTGAGGATGAGAAGCACGATGATGCTGCATTGCCGTTGAATGCTGCGGATGAGGCAGCCATTAATGAGCGTCATAACCGCAACAAGGGATTGGTGTGGATTGTGGAACAACTGCCGGGTCGCATGCATCTCAAGGATGTTTCGGAAAAATTCCTATCGGGCGAAAACTCGACATGGATTGCGAATGGTGTGCCGTACTTCGATGAGATGCTGCAGGCCAGTGGCGTAGCGCCCGATAGTGCCTACCTTGAAATGAAAGCTGCGTTCGACGATGAACTAACCAATCTCGAAGCGGTCGATCAGTTTATGCGCAATCATGGCTTCCGAGGCGATTTGATGGGCGAGGAGTCGGTTGCTTACGGCAATATTGATATCAAATTGTTCTCCTACAATGCGCAAATAGGCATTAGCGACTATCATGCTTTCGCCGGACCCATATTCATTCGGCTGCAACATGTGCAACCGCGGGAAGCGATTGAGAGTGAGAGTACCGTGAGCGAGTCAACGGATATCGCATCCAATTTGAAGGATGAACGCTTGAGTGTGAGCATTGATGATGCGGCGCAACTTGCCGAACTGGAGCGTATTACCGAGCGGCGATCTGTACGCAACGATATGCAAGCGATTGCAATGCGGCAGGTATCTAGTGGCCCGTTCAAGTGGTCTGAAATTGCGGATCGCATAACGGACATTGAACATAAAGGACATCCGGATGAATTCAATTTCGGCAAAGTAGCTCCCCATTGGGCGTGGTAAAGAGAGGCGTGGCGGTGTGGTGGTTGTCTTAACAACCTCGCGGCCATTTAAATATATAGTAAATATTTTAATTTAATTTCACAAACATTTGTACATATATTACATAATAATTTGTCGAGTGGATTTTTGAGCTATACACATACATACCTACAGAAGTATGAATTTTTGCATGCAACTCCAAAATTAGAAAACACATAAATTTTTTGTTAGTAAATTTTATGATTTGTAAATAATTCGTATCAATTGCGTGTAGAAAAAGTTGTGATTTTAAGTCGATTGTGCAAAAATGTTGCTATTTTGTATTAGATAAAAGTGAATTGTAGAAATTTTATAAACTTTATACGTCCATAGCTTTAAAAAACTACAAAAATTTTATAAAGAAATTACATACATATGAACACTAGTCTTCCATAGTTTTATCTCCATTTTTGGACTACTGTGTGAACATACATACATACATACATATATACATATATAAGTAAAAGATATGTGTACCGTGCTGGTTTGAGATTTCTAACTTTTATACAGAGCAATTGTGAGAATAAAAAATATTAAAAAACAGAAAACTTGATGTATTTTGTTTCATTAACTTTTATCTGACAACTTTCCGTCAAGAAAGTGAATCATCGTCATCGTCGGGGAACGTCAGCGCAACAGTAACATGGATGACGATGGCCGTATCGTCACTTTTACTGACGATGACGATGTTCAACATAGGGCGGAGTAGCTCGCCTCACGGCAATTGTAAACGTTGATCTGATAAACAGCATAACGTGGCGACCTGTGCTGACTCTAGTATCAGACCATCTGCCCATAGTGATCTCGACTAATAAACCTGGTGACTTTGCTTCCGCAAACCTATGTACAATCAACTTTTCCAAAGATGACTGCAACGGCTTCGCGACAGTTACTGAAATCAATTTCTCTGACCTCCCCACACTAACCGACGTTCACATAGGTGATCGTAAGTTACGCAAGGTTATAACTGCGGTTGTTGTTGTTGTAGCAGCATACGAATTCCCCAAAGGCTTTTTGGGGAGTGTTGCTGGAGTGACAGTCCTTCGCCAGATATAAATCTGGGTCGTTCCGATTAAGTAAACCCGACAGTCGTGGGAACGGGTTTAACTGCTGCTGCAGCACGCTTCATTATATCTGAGTGTATTTAGCATCCCCGTCTAAATTTTCCCGCCGAGGCGGCTGTCCTAGCTGATGAGCGTGATAACCTCCTGCCGGCTAGTGACTTGACGACCTTGTTGCGGCTCTGTACTCTATTGAAAATTGCGGTTGTTTGCGCCGAGGAGACAGGCTATCAAATGTATGTAGCTCCCAGAATTTTTGGGTTATTCGCCGTCCAAATTTGTACGCCATGAACGTGAATTCCCAGCTGTAGCCTGATCTCCTTCGTCCAGTTGGTAAAAAGGCTTGCCGAGGATTGTGTAGGTGAGAGGGTTGGCTCCTTGCAGTGAAAAAGCGAAAAAGTTAGGAGAGATACCCATTTACTTTCGAACACAAGTCATCAATTCCATTCCCAGTCGAGGAAAGGAGATCGCCTAGTGGGACCCCCTGTTTAATTTTTCTTGGCTTGCTAGTTTTGTCACTAAAAATTCCTGACGAATGTCGACCACTCAAATAATTCGCTGACCACCGTTTGAGTCCATGTGGGAGAGAGGAAGCCTCAATGTCTTCTAGTAGTGTGGAATGGCTGACGGTATCAAACGCCTTTGACAGATTTAACGCTACTTGGGCTGTGCAATTTACGGGAACCATGCTGATGCCTCTTTGTGGTCAGGTGGTTTGTATCGTGTGCTTATACTCTCGGATTTGCATATTCGCTGCATTTGCAAATTCACAACAATAAAATGCACACGGTTGCCATGGCAGCAAGCACAAGATTTACAAATGCAATTCCAACTGCAAATCTAAGACCATTTCCACAACATCCTGAACAGCCCTTATGTGTTTAATAAAAGATGAAATAAACAAATAAAGACAACTCCATGTGATATGTGACCACTAGGATGGTCCAAAATAAGTAAGGTCGGAATTTTAATGCTCCCACTCTCTCCCTATACAAAAAAAGGAATTAAAATTTTTACTTTGAAATCAAAAAATATTTAGAGGTGGCTCAAAGCGCTAAAAGTTTTCCATGTGTTTTAAATGAAAAAAAAATCTGAAATTTTAAGAAAACTCATTTGGGTAGGTTTTATGTTAACAAGTTAAATTAAATATTTAATTGATTATTAAAAAAGTTATTTCGAAAATCAATTTAATTAACAATTTAAATCAAATATTTTAATGTCGTTATCAAACGAAAGAGGTGTTAGGAAAGCTGTATATACCATTGACCAGTGTTGCCACAAACTCAGGAATTTAATATCAATTTGACTGATTAAATGAAAGCTATCAGCTATCGAAATATGTCTAAGACGGGACCCGACTTTTTGCACCTATTTGTATGATCAACGTGAATGTGTTAGTTGACACAGCGCTCTTAAAAGTAAAAATGTAATGTTAAAGTTTTGCAAAATGGGGTTTTCTTCTACAGGTGAGTTGTGTATAAGGTGCAATTCAAAAATTGCACGTTTAACTGATTAGAATTTAATGAAACATTCAAGTGAGTTTTTTTAATAAAGAAAATTTAAAGAAGACGTCATGTAACTTTCACCAATAAAAAATGAATGTTTATTTCAACATGCATAACTATATATATTCAAAACTATAATACTAAGTATTGAATCCGGCCGCGATTTTTATTTATTTCAGTTTTTTTTTATTTTATCATACATTTTAGTATAATCATTTCGGATTCTCGGCAACACTGAAGTTTATGAAGTCGTTTGCGCATCAAATTTGCCCCGTAAATTTACGAGGGGCTCGTAAATAGAGCTCCATACAAATTTTAACTGTTATTTTATGAGGCTTGTAAATTTACGAGCTTTACGAGGTTTACGAGGCTTTTACGAGTTTAAGGGAATACCTCTACTATAAATGTACTCAGTTTCTGAATTATGAGCAAGTTAAAGCATACTTCTTTTAATAAATTAAAAAAAAAAAAAAACTTTGTAAAATAATAAAGTATGTACTTGAATACATAAAGTAGATAAATAAGTTAAGCTGCCTGCCAACACTACTGTGCAATAAACGTAACGGCATTTTCTCATTCCTACAATATTTTCCGGTCATAAGTCGCGCCATCTAGCGGCGATAGTTCGTAAAGTCAATTCAGCATTGCCAACTCAAAATACAGCGCTCTCGGTTTTTAATTTCTTCGTTTGTTTACATGAATTTGTTGTTGCTATTTTCTCTAACATTCGCTATCCGCTACTCATTCGCACTTTTTCGGCTTCGTTGTTTTGTATGGCCATTCGCTTTTTTCTTATCATAGCTAGCGCTGCCGGCAGAGGCGCCGCCTTGCGTGTTGCGTTGTTATCGTTTCACGTAGAGTAGCTTCGACTTGGACTAATTGGAAATTTTTCCGGATGCTGACACATGCGAAAGTTTAATAAGAATTTGTTTTCGTTGCAATTGTTCACGGCTTCGTTTTTAATTGGCAAGCAAATATTAAATAAATAGTACCGCTGTATGCACAAAATATACGGAAGAATATATCCATATGTATTTGCAAAACACTCCCAACAAGTTGCTCTCTTTTGCAACCCTGACCATTCGCAGTTTTTGTCTTTGCTTTGAGTTCTTTGCATGTCTGTCTCTCTATCTACATTGTTCGATGCTTTTTTAATTAATTGCAAATTACTAAGCAGAAGCAGAGAAAATTTCGCGAATCCAAATCGCATTTATTTCAGAAGTTTGT